ATGGTATAGAGTAAAATAAAAATTTGTTAAATATATATTTTACTTTATAATTTAAATTACATAATTTAAATTCTATAGCAGTTTTATTAAAAAAACATCAAAATTTTTTCTATTCGAATCAACGAATTATTAAAATAGATTCAAATTTTGTTAGGCACCACAGTTTGCATGGTATAGAGTAAAATAAAAATTTGTTAAATATATATTTTACTTTATAATTTAAATTACATAATTTAAATTCTATAGCAGTTTTATTAATTCTTTTATTTTAAAATTAAAATTATTTTTACCAGTGGAGAGGAAGGAGTTTTGCTACACTAGGCTGCCCTCCTGTGCCATTTTTTCAAGGTTTAATCCTCCATCTGATCCCTCAACTTAAGCGTTTTGTACCAATGACAAGGCAATTACATATATATATATATATATAAAGCTTAGTTGGACAACTGTAAGTGTTGACACTTTGATGCATCCGACATGGACTTATGAAGTATGGATATTGTCAATATAACAAAAAAACACAATCAGAATTTTTACACTGTGGCCACTGCAGTTTCTTTTAACAAGAAAATACAGTCAGAATGGGCATTTGGTCAGATATAACAAAAATACTCAAGTAGTTAATAATAATATTAGATAATGAAAAATAGTTTAATAGACTATTATACATTAGAAAATAATTAGATAGTCATTATATAATATAGTTAATATTCTATTTAAAATATTATTTAAGTTTAAAAGTATTACATAATTATTATAACTATACAAAATTTTTCAATGATATCATGTACAATCGATATATACTGTGTCTAAAAATATAAATTATGTAACACTTACATTCCAAAAAATTGGAGAATACTATCTAAAACATTAGAAAATTATACTTAATAACTATACTTAAGAAATTTATATGGCAATCATATGAGTGAGAATACTATAAATAATTATACTTAATCTAATCAATAGTTAACTTCTCCGATTCTACCTTTTAGTCCCAACAATCACCATTAATGTACTACATCCCTCTAATACTGTCCACAAGGAACTGCCCACTACATGCATGTACAAAAAGAAACCCGTGTTCTTGAACATATTGTCATCCCATGTAATACAACAATAATATAAAATATATCTCAATCTATATCATAGAAAAGGCAAATAGGAATTCAACCACCAACATTCAAATTCTAAATATTTTATAAAAAAAAATATTATTTATAAATGTAATGAAAATGAAAACATTCATTATGTATAGAGACCTATGTTCTTTTTCTTTTTAGTGTCATGCATTTTAGGACCAAACTACTTATTTTTTACACTATATTTATCGAAGAGATCTCATTTGAAATTTCACCAAAAAAAGCCCTACTCTTCAAAGACCACAATTAAAAAAATCAAAACTTTAAACAAAATTTAAAATATATACCTCATATTCAATAATATTAATACTCCACTTCTTCTTGAGATCAACTACTCTCTTGTGATTGGAGTTGTAGTATATAAATAAAAGATCTAAAATTTCATGCAATTTTTTTCAAAATCTAGGGCTCAAAAAAAAAAAAAGATATCAAAAAGATTTTGTTTTTTATTTTTTTTTTCTTCATTTTCTTGTCCTCTATGATGGATCCCGCAAATTAAAGTAAGTCCTTTGAATGAGCGGGTAGTGAGTGGGCAAGTAGTAAAGTGCAATTACCATGTCATTAAAATTTTACAAAGATTAAAGTAAGCCATTAGTTTAACAAACAATGTTGGATGGGAGTTGAATGGGAGTTTACGGGAGTTGACAAAGAGACATATTGATATATATATATAGTTTGTTTAGTTTATAGTTTTGATTATAAAATAAAAATTATTAGATTTAATACAGCTCAAAAATTTGCGAATGATATTAAAGTGTACATTTTTGTTGTTATATGTACATGAGAAAAATGATTTTTTGACCATTTTTAATGGCAATAAAATTTTATAAGATAAGATGTCATAACCCTTAGTATTATCTCTTTTGATTTTGATGAGACAAATAAATTGATATGCATCACTTTATTTAATGTCATATGTTCATTATAAAATTTACAACAAAATCACAATTGATAATATTCTTATGAATCCGTCACTAAATTAACTATTTTGTTCTTGCCAATCATACATGCCAAATTTCATTAATTAATAAAATGTGTATTAAAAATGTGTTTCACAAATGCTTTTCTTCATGTGATTAGGGTAGGTTCGTAAAAAGTACAAACCGAGCTAACAATGGGTTAATTGTATCAAAAGGGATAGGGATACAATGCTTTGTTTTGTTAAAGAATGCTTCTCAATATTTTAGTTTTTTTGTTTTATCTTTTTTATT